TGAGGGGGTCTGTTCTGTGGGAGTCAGTGTGTGTTGAGGGTCTGTTCTGAGGGAGTCGGTGTGTGTTGAAGAGGTCTGTTCTGTGGGAGTCGGTGTGTGTTGAGGGGGGGGGTCTGTTCTGTGGGAGTCGGTGTGTGTTGAGGGGTTCTGTTCTGGGGGAGTCGGTGTGTGTGTTGAGGGGTTCTGTTCTGAGGGAGTCGGTGTGTGTTGAAGAGGTCTTGTTCTGTGGGAGTCGGTGTGTGTTGAGGGGGTCTGTTCTGTGGGGACATCGGTATGTGTTGAGGGGTTCTGTTCTGGGGGAGTCGGTGTGTGTTGAGGGGGTCTGTTCTGGGGGAGTCGTGTGTTGTTGAGGGGGTTCTGTTAGAGAGTCGGAGTGTGTTGGGGGGGTCTGTTCTGGGGGAGTTGGTGTGTGTTGAGGGGGTCTGTTCTGGGTGAGTCGGTGTGTGTTGAGGGGGTCTGTTCTGGAGCAGTTGGTCTGCATTGAAGGGGTCTGTTCTGTGGGAGTGGGTGTGTGTTGAGGGGGTCTGTTCTGTGGGAGTCGGTGTATGTGTTCAGGGGGTCTGTTTTGTGGGAGAGTCGGTGTGTGTTGAGGGGGTCTGTTCTGGGGGAGTCGGTGTGTTTTGAGGGGGGTCTGTTCTGGGCAGTTGCTCTGCATTGAAGGGGTCTGTTCTGTGGGATTCAGTGTGTATTGAGGGGGTCTGTTCTGGGGGGAAGTCAGTGCGTGTTGAGGGGGTCTGTTCTGGGGGAGTCAGTGTCTGTTGAGGGGGTCTGTTCTGGGGGAGTCTGTGTCTGTTGAGGGGGGTCTGTTCTGGGGGAGTCGGAGTGTGTTGAGGGGGTCTGTTCTGGGGGGGTCTGTGTGTGTTGTTGAGGGGGTCTGTTACTCCTGAAGTCCTTCTCTAAGGTAGGCTATGTGTAGAAGAGGTAAAGGAAAGATACAATTTGATTGCCCTGAGTGTGTGGAGGTTTGTGTGTGTCTCTCAAGCTTGTAGTGCAATCAGAAAAGCTCATGTTATGAGTAAAAGCACCACGGCTCAGGTATGTATAGGGGGAGTAGGCTCAGGTTTAACTTTACTAAATCCCCTTAAGCCCCTCCCACTGTTAGCCCAACTTGACCGCACTCACGATTCATTGAGGCATGCTGTGCTCCGCTTTGTTTCTTCACTCCTTTTTTTTGGGGGAGGAGTAAAAAAAATGATCAGTCCGGGTGCCAGATGTGCTAGGTACACCACTGACTTTCTAGAACATTAAATTCACTGATTATTAGGTGTGACCCTTTGGTGGTGTCAGGGGCCACAGTCGAGGCCCCCAGCATCAAGTTGGCCTGTGCTGAGCAGATGTTAAAAATCACAAACTGTTTCAAAACTCTCCACCAGAATCAAATGAAACAAAGGAAACGGATGAACATCTTTATTTCCAGGAAGAATACATTGTTGTATAAGACACGGATCAACCGTTTTATAAAATGCACTTCGAGTGGATCTAGGATTTTCCGGCCGTCTCCTCCAGGCACATTCATTCTGCTACTAATGAGTAATCAGCGGTGGAAAAATGTTGGTTTCAGCAACTTTTGTTGAGTCTATGACTCTATAACACACTCCTGCTGAAAAGTTCTCTTTTTCTAGGTGCTGCCCATATATATATTTATATATATGTAGTGCCCCTCTAGTTAGCCAGGGGGAGCTAGCTAGGATTTTAGTTAGGGGCTGGATAGAAGCCTGGGATGAGTCAGCCAGATATTATTATTATTATTACATCGAGTTATCTTTAGGTCAGGGCTGGAGGCTCCGCAAGTCAGTTCCCGGATACTTCACCCTGTTCTAGAAGCTTGAAAAGTTTGTAGAAGGCAGTGGGTGGGGGGGTCAGGAGGGGCTGATCTGCATACTTAGGGGATCCTAACCAATCCCCAAACAGGAGGCTTGGGGTCAGGACAACCCTTAAATATGAGAGAGCCAAAAATCATTGGGAATGTATGGCCTGCATAAGGGAGGACTGTCCCCAGACCATCTGGGAGAAATTGGCTTGTATGCTCCAAATCAAGTTGTAAAATTCCGGTAAAGATCGTTCTAACTAAGGAAGACTAGAGAAGATGGAGGAGAATGAGAGAGAAGGAGAATAGGAAGGAAAGGAGTCTGGTTGTGCTGTTCCTCTCCAGGCCGATCTGCGAGGGCTAGGCAAAAAAACCTGGGTGTTGCATGGCGGGGTCAGCTTAGGGTTCAAGCAACGATTGATCAAAGTTCGGAAGTAGGTAACTATCTGCCCTGGGTTGCCAGATTTGTAGGCCTCTATCTTGCTGTGGGTCATGGCTTGCGTCACCCGCTGTTGAACCTCAAGAATGGTAAGACTGGGTTCCTTCCAGACTTCTGTAATTGTTTGTTTAGAGGATGTGGTGACCTAGAGAAGGAGTTTGATCTGAACTCTGGATAAGTCTGGAGGACATCAGTTCAACAGACCCAACGCGGGATCTAGGGAAATTCATTTGGAAAGCATCTCAAGTACCTCAACCCAAAGCTGAGTAACTATGGGGCAGGAGTGCCAAATGTGGCAGTGAGTACCTATGTCTGGGCAGCCTCTAAAACAATGACGGGATAGGATGAGCAAAATTTTGTAACCCTTGGTGGTACGTAAGATCGTTCTAACTAAGGAAGACTAGAGAAGATGGAGGAGAATGAGAAAGAAGCAGAATAGGAAGGAAAGGAGTTTGGTTGGTGTTGTTCCTCTCCAGGCCTATCTGCGAGGGCTAGGCAAAAAACCTGAGTGTTGCATGGTCGGGTCAGCTCAGGGTTCAAGCAAGGATTGATCAAAGTTGGGAGGTAGGTAACTATCTGCCCTGGGTTGCCAAATTTATAGACCACTATCTTGCTGTGGGTCATGGCTTGATTTTCTTAAATCATTGATGGCGCCATCGGATTACCGAGCGAACAACGTTCTCGATTTCTGGATGAAAAATTCTTCGGAATTCGAACCATGTATGGCCTGCATAAGGGTGTACCTCTCTAATACCTGGATAGCATGAAAAAAAAAGAAAACCCAACAAAAGTTCTAACCCTCCCCCACTCCATCCATGAAAAAATTTTGGCGGGAAATAAAAGCTACATTTAATAATAGAATCATCTACAGGACATCAGATCATCGAACACAACATTTAAGAAGCGACTTTTACATCTCTGAAAATAGAAATGACAAATGTAAATTCTTCTTCCTTATGCAGGCCATAGACGGTTCGTTTATCGGCTGAATTTTATCTGAAAGAACAATCGGATGATATTCACACCGTTAGTGGGGCAATGTCATCGGCCGATTTTTACAGTTCCTCCTCATTTTTTTTTAATCGGCCATGCTGGAAAATTTACGAAAAAATGCAGATTTTTGTAATCATTGGTGGCAACAGAACGACCGATGTTTCATTTTTAGGCCGAAAATTTGGTCGATAAACAAACCGTCTATGTCCTGCATTAGTTGAGATGTTGCTTATCAAAGCATGAAGAGGTAGAAGAGGCGACACATTCACTTACAGAGCAAATGTATACATTGTATCTATACAGACAAATCATTCACACGCACAGCAAATGTATACATTGTATCTATACAGACAAATCATTCACATACACAGCAAATGTATACATTGTATCTATACAGACAAATCATTCACATACACAGCAAATGTATACATTGTATCTATACAGACAAATCATTCACATGCACAGCAAATGTATACATTGTATCTATACAGACAAATCATTCACATACAGAGCAAATGTATACATTGTATCTATACAGACAAATCATTCACACGCACAGCAAATGTATACATTGTATCTATACAGACATCATTCACACGCACAGCAAATGTATACATTGTATCTATACAGACAATCATTCACACGCACAGCAAATGTATACATTGTATCTATACAGACAAATCATTCACACACACAGCAAATGTATACATTGTATCTATACAGACAAATCATTCACATACACAGCAAATGTATACATTGTATCTATACAGACAAATCATTCATACGCACAGCAAATGTATACATTGTATCTATACAGACAAATCATTCACATGCACAGCAAATGTATACATTGTATCTATACAGACAAATCATTCACACGCACAGCAAATGTATACATTGTCTCTATACAGACAAATCATTCACATACACAGCAAATGTATACATTGTCTCTATACAGACAAATCATTCACATGCACAGCAAATGTATACATTGTATCTATACAGACAAATCATTCACACGCACAGCAAATGTATACATTGTATCTATACAGACAAATCATTCACACGCACAGCAAATGTATACATTGTATCTATACAGACAAATCATACAGACAAACACGCACAGCAAATGTATACATTGTATCTATGCAGACAAATCATTCACATACACAGCAAATGTATACATTGTATCTATACAGAGAAATCATTCACACGCACAGCAAATGTATACATTGTATCTATACAGACAAATCATTCACATACACAGCAAATGTATACATTGTATCTATACAGACATCATTCACATGCACAGCAAATGTATACATTGTATCTATACAGACAAATCATTCACACACGCACAGCAAATGTATACATTGTATCTATACAGACAAATCATTCACATACACAGCAAATGTATACATTGTATCTATACAGACAAAACGCAAACTATTCGACGTCTAACAGGAAGCAGCAGCGCCGCCTGCTCTGGCCTACGCAGCACGGAACGCACATACTACATCCTCAGAGAAAGTTCTAGAAATGTTCCATGGAGACTTCATCAAAGTCTACACCAGCTGAGGCCACCAAACACGGAGCCCTGGAGGTTGTAGAAAAGCGTCAGCTGGAAGCGGTCGGTTTGCTAACATTTCACACAAAAAAATATATATATATATATAGAATCTTGTCAATGAATGGCATTAAAAAGTTGTTTTTATTTTTTTTATTTTTTTGAAAGTTGAAAAAAAATCCTCCGAAGATCTTTCAGATGATGCCGAACTGCGCCAACTCGTGTAGCTCTAAGTGGCTGAACGCCTCCCAAGGACAGATGACGGTAATATCTGTGAAAGAGAAAACAATCTTTTGAGAATTTTGTTACAATTTTTCATGCTTTTTTTTGTACAGTTTTTTTCTGGGTACAAGGGAAAAAAAACTGCCGACAAGAGCATGTAAAGAAAATAAAGAGATCGACTCGGATCACAGGGAGAGGGTGACATTTCCGGGACATGGATAGTTATTGAACTTTCAAATCTCACCAATAATGTACAACCAACACTACCAGGGCAGCTGTTAGAAACCACGGGGCCCCATACAGCCAACTTGACAGAGCCCTCCAAACCACAGGGCCCCATACAGCCAACTTGACAGAGCCCCCCACCCCAAGAAAAACAGTTCACCAGGCTTTATTATGAATGAACACGGCGAGCGAGCGATACCAATCAATTATTGTGTTCATTCAGGAAAGGAAGGGGCTGCTAAATGGGACTTATTTAGAGGACCCTTCCTCCACTCTCCATCCTGAAGGACCCTTTTGTGTGCTGCCACTGGTGGGAAGGAGAGGAGGGAAGTCAGCAGCTCTGCGGGGATTGGGGAACGCAGGGGAAACTGGCAGGGCGTGACGTATGGTGCACAGGTAAGGTGATGGGTGTGGCTGGTGGGGCAGTTACTGGAACCAATCCCCTGTATGGCTCTCTCTGCAGCAGCTGGAAGCCGGTGGGAGGGAGAGGAGAAGCCGGTTGGAAGGAGAGGAGAAGAATCCGGCTGGAGGGAGAGAGGAGAAGAAGCCGGCTGGAGGGAGAGGAGAAGAAGCCGGCTGGAGGGAGAGGAGAAGAAGCTGGCTGGAGGGAGAGGAGAAGAAGCCAGAAGGAGGAAGAGGAGAAGAAGCCGGCGAGAGGGAGAGGAGAAGAAGCTGGCTGGAGGGAGAGGAGAAGAAGCTGGCTGGAGGGAGAGGAGAAGAAGCTGGCTGGAGGGAGAGGAGAATAAGCTGGTGGGAGGGAGAGGAGAAAAAGCCGGCTGGAGGGAGAGGAGAAGAAGCTGGCTGGAGGGAGAGGAGAAGAAGCTGGCTGGAGGGAGAGGAGAAGAAGCCGGAGGGAGAGGAGAGGAGAAGAAGCCGGCGGGAGGGAGAGGAGAAGAAGCCAGCTGGAGGGAGAGGAAAAGAAGCCGGATAGAGAGAGAGGAGAGAGAAGAAGCCGGCGGGAGGGAGAGAGAGAAGAATCTGGCTAGAGGGAGAGGAGAAGAAAACCGGCTGGAGGGAGAGAGAGAAGAAGTCGGCTGGAGGGAGAGGAGAAGAAGTCGGCTGGAGGGAGAGGAGAAGAAGCCGGCGGGAGGGACAGGAGAAGAAGCTGGCGGGAGGGAGAAGAGAAGAAGCTGGCGGGAGGGAGAGGAGAAGAAGCCAGCTGGAGGGAGAGGAGAAGAAGCCGGCTGGAGGGACAGGAGAAGAAGCCGGCAGGAGGGAGAAGAGAAGAAGCCGGCGTGAGGGAGAGGATAAGAAGCTGGCTGGAGGGAGAGGAGAAGAAGTTGGCTGGAGGGAGAGGAGAAGAAGCCAGATGGAGGGAGAGGAGAAGAAGCCAGGAGGAGGGAGAGGAGAAGAAGCCGGCTTTCAGCTGCTGCAGAGAGAGCCATACAGGGAATCGGTTCCAATAATTGCCCCCCTGCAGTGCTGATCCCCCTACCTGTGCACCATACATTTCACCCTGCCAGTTTCCCCTGTGTACCCCCACCCCCCGCATTGCTGTTGACTTCCCTCCTCTCTTTCCCACCCAGCTTCCTGGGCCCCCCTGCTGGCCTGGGCCCCGTACAAGAGGACTGGTGGTCCCCCTTTATCCACAGCTCAGACCACTACATTCAGGGAGGATAGTGATGGGCTGAACACCCCCCTGTTCGGTTTGCGGTTGAACATCCAAAACCTACAGACTGTTCGACTGCGAACTTCGAACCAAACAATTTCCTGAACGGCACCTTCCTGCCTCTGAGTACGTGCTGAGATCCCGCTCAGTTACTCAAACATCCATTCATGTTCCCGCTGTCAGTGGAGGTTCCCCGCTGGCAGCTGAATGTCAAAAGAATTGTCATCAGTGCCTGACAATTAAAACATTTTTTAAAAAAACAATGTGGGGTCCCCCCTCCCATCCATACCACGTCCTTTGAGTCTGGTATGGATTTTGAGGGGAACCCCCGAAGCCAAATTTTTATTAAAAATGGCATGGGGGTCCCCTTCAAAATCCATACCAGAATCTTATCCAAGCATGCAGCCCGGCAGATCAGGAAAGGGGGGGGGAGATGAGCGAGCGACCCCCCCATGAACCATAGCAGCTACATGCCCTCAACATGGACGGGTGATTTGGGGCCCCCAAAGCACCTTGTCCCCATGTTAATGGGGCATGGGCCTCTGCCTCACAATCCTGGGCTGTGGTTGTGGGCGGGGGGCTTTAACAAGGGATCCCGCCCCCCCATGTGAATGAGTATGGGGTACATGGTGCCGCTACCCATTCACAAAAAAAAGTGTAGTGTAAAATAGACAGAAGACAGTCTTTTCCAAATCCTTTATAAAAAATAAAAGTATAAAAAATGTCCCCCGAAGTAGATCCAACGTCATTCATGATGCCCGAAAAAAGAAAAAAAGAAAAGAAAAAAAATGCTCCGCTTGCAACACTGACTCCCAGCCGTGTCCCGATGACAGTTCTTAAATACTATCATGACATCACAAGGCATTATATTATTATTATTATTTGTAATTATTATTATTTTTATTATTATTTAAATTTTTTTTATTATTATTATTATTATATCAAATAAAAAATTAATAAATCAGAGAAAATGTAAAATGAAATAAAAAATATATATATATCATGAAATAAAAAATGAAATTTACAATATATTAAAATAAAATGGTAATGTACCTCCTTTATGATTGCTCATTAAAAGACTATAATTAAAAAATACATATAAAACTTACATTAATTTACCATGAACATTTTTTGTATTTGTTATATTTGGTGTGCCTACACACATGCCGTGTTCTGTTTCTGTCTGCTTCCACCATCGTGGAAGATGTCTCACATGCAATAAAGGCTTTTTCAGCATAAACATGGTCCACTCCAATATGGCGGACACAGGCATGCTACAGAATACTGCGTTTATATCTAAGGTAAGTGTATATAATGTGCAAGGATGACCTGCCGATATCACCATAATTCTTCTGATTTTATAATGTTTTCCGCATATTTACTATCTGCAGAATATTTTTTTTTTGCCTTTGAATCAGCCAGAATTAGGGGGATGCATGTCAATATCATTATTTCAATATTCATTTTATTTATTACAGTATATATTTAATATTTATATATTCAATAGTTAGAAAAGAAGAGGAACAGAGAGGAGACAAAAGTAACTGAAAGGAAAGAAAAGGGTATAAAAAGAAGTCCTAAAATCAAAGTATCCAAATAGTTCTTTTCCAGGAAAGATCCCGGGGATCATTGGAGAAAGAAACGACACTCGTAAGTCTATCATATTAAAATAAATAAATTATTATGAAATTTTAAATATTTAAGGTACAGAAGGAGGCGGAATGTTACCATTTCCAAATCACCAGATTACAACGGAGCTCCACCGTCATTCAAATTACACTGTTCAACAGGTAAAAAGTTTTGGGCATAAAATTAGCTAATCTTACATAATTTTGGGGTGCTGAAAACGAAAATGACCCTAAAAAATGTTGATTGGCTCTAGTTTCCATGATATATTCACCCATCTAATGACGTAAGCCATTCAAAATTATGATGCAACTTCAGCTGCATATTGCGCAATTGATACTGGTGACCAATAGAAAATGTCATGTATACTGAGATGATGCAATATTAGCCTTTAATTGCATCACTTCACTGCATAAAAGCTGCAGTATCTGTAGCTGATTGGAGTTCGTCTTTACATTTGGTTTTCTGCTTATATAGGCTACTCAGTAATGCCTCGAACTTGTGTGAATAAAGCAGATAATTTCTGCTATATCTGCGGTGAAATAACTTTTATCTCACAAAAAAGGAGGATAACAGGAATGATTAAGAAAGCCTACAACTTGTATTTTGGCTGCAAGATAGGAGACCAGGACAAGAGCTGGGCACCACATATATGCTGCAATTCTTGTGGGACGGCACTGGAGCAATGGTTGAATGGAAAAAAGGCATCTATGCCTTTCGCTGTGCCAATGATTTGGAGAGAGCCAACAGATCATGTTAGTAATTGTTACTTTTGTATGGTGCCTCCAATTGTAAAAGGGCTAAATAAGAAGAAAAAGTTATCTGTGCACTATCCAAATATTCCATCGGCAATACGTCCAGTTCCTCATGGAGAGGGGCTACCAATTCCTAAAGCACCAGAATCCTTCGTGGTTGAGTCAAGTGAGGAAGAACCTGAAGCGTGTAGTCACGTGCAGTTGTAAGAGATAGCCCTTTCCTCGAATACAAGAGAAAAGCCAAGAGAAGCAAAACCGACACAAACTGAAGACAAAACTAGTGAGAATCCTAAGTATTAAAATGATTCAACTTAGCTTATGGCTATAATTTTTCTTGGTAATCCTATGCAATATATTATGCCATTTAGGCTTTGTTATGTAGTCAATATCACTTGCTTTATATTTGTGGAAAGACATCTATCTATATAATTATTGTGCATTATGTAGTCATTACGCCTATAGTAGAAAACTTTCCGTTTACAGAAAAAACTAGAGCCAATTGACAAATTTCATTGTTATATTTTAACTCAGAATGTGAAATTCATTAAGAAATGGATCCTTTTGTTTCCAAAAAATAAAAATTTGTTGAACAGTGTTATCGGTTTACTGATGTTCTTATCTTTAATGGAAACCCTCCTCCTTCATATTCATTTATTTTAAGGATTTTGATAAAATTAAATTCAAAAGGGATATGATCACGTCCATGGCTTACCTGTTCCAAGACCCTCCATTCCAGGTATATCGTCACCAAATCTAAAAAAAAAATAAAGGCATATAAATGTTTAATTATTATTATTTTGTATTATATTATTTTTATTTGATTGTACTTTTTATTTTAATTTTTTTAAATAACCCCTGATTGGGGGTGTTAGTTCCTGAAATTAAAAAAAAAAATCATGTTCGAAATTGATGGCCTGAGTCTTATCAATGAATCCTTTTGTTAGACCGCTAATATACAAGTATTCATTACTGAAGAAGGATTTGATTATCTATTTTCTCTCACACTCATATAAATGGCTTCCAATGTATACCTAGATTGTAAGCTCGAAAGAGTAGGGCCCTCTTACCCCTCGTACGTTGTTTGTTATTGTTGTACTGTGCCATGTATTGTCCCCCCTATATTGTACAGCGCTGAGCAAACCCTTTGGCGCTATATAAACCTGATGTAATAATAATATTAATAATATACAGGAAATTAATAAAATCTTTATAGTCTCAAAAAAACCAAGTGTAATTATTGTGTGCCTTGAGGCGCCATGTGTATGTGTATACCCACATGGAAGAAAAATATATTGGAAATATATTTTTTAAATATTCTTCCCAAATATATTGAATTATATTTGAAATGCTACAATTTTGGCCGTATTCAATATATTTAAAAAAAAAAAAAAAAAAAATATATATATATATATATATATATATACACTGCGTGTTGAAATATTATTAAAATATTTGAAATTTTTTAAAATACATTTCAAATATACTGTATGTCTTCAAAAATACAAATCTGCATTTTTGGAATGAATTTACAAATATATGTAAAAATATATGTTTAAAAAACGACTTTTTCATATGTTAAAAAAAAAAATCTGAAGACTATATTTTAAAAAATATATATTTGAAAGACCACCCTTTTACTGAGCCTTTGGATGACACATTAGGAGAAGAAGCCCCTAAATATTTTAATATTAGTGGTAGATAAAAGGCTACTTTTCCCAAAATTCTCTTCTGCAATTTTAAATTGTGCCTCTGCTTGTTGGGTTTCTTCCCTTGTTTGACAGCCATTTAACCACTTCCCATCAGCCATACGCATATATACAGTATGGGTATTGGTGGGTGGGCTGTAACGCTGAGAGGACATGTATATGCATCCCTCCCCACATGGAAGAAAAATATATTTTAAATATATTTTAAAAATACTCTTCCCAAATATATTGCCATATATTCAAAATATTCAAAATACTACAATTTTGACCATATTCAATCTACTTAAAAGAAAATTATATATATATATATATATATATATATATATATATATATATATATATATATATCCTGCATGTTGAAATGCGTTCTTATATATTGCAAAATATATGTTAAAATGACTTTTTTATATGTTAAAAAAAAAATCTGAAGAATATATTTAAAAAAAATATATTTGAAAAAAAATATTTTATCTACTTTGTAATATATAAAAAATGCATTTTAACATACATTTTATATATATATATATATATATATATATATATATATATATAAAAATATATTTTTTAAATATGTAGTATTTCAAATATAGGTCAATATATTTGGTAAGAATATATTTAAAATATTTAAAAAATATATTTAAAATATATTTTTCTTCCATGTGGGTCTGTAAACTCTTTACTTTGCTGAGAGCACGATCCCAGCACAGTAATCGGTGGGTACCAGAAAGCTCCCCACGTATACTTGCGATTGGAAGCTTACCAATCATGTGACTACCAATCACAATGGTCACATGACCAGAATGCCCGTCTCTGCCTCTCGGCATTTAGAACTTCTTATAAGCCCAGTAGGTGGCGAGGGGAAGGGGTTAATAAAGCCATCATTGGTTGTCAAACCGGCGGCCCTCCAGCTGTTGCCAAACTACAAGTCCCATGAGGCATTGCAAGATTGACAGTTACCAGCATGACTCCCAAAGGCAGAAGCATGATGGGACTTGTAGTTGGCCACCAGTTTGACACCCCTGGTTTACACCTACCTAAACTTGATGACAGACTGTGAATTCAATCAAATTATTGGCAAAATGGCAGTCATCTAAAAAAAGTAAAATTTGAAGCTGTTAATTTACCCTTTGACACCCTTCTTTGGCGGCTTGCTCTTGAACTGACGTGTCTGTCTCTGCTTGAACTTTGGAGGCCCCTTGCGCGGTGTGGTGGGTCCACCTTGGACATTAGCGGGAGCCAATGCGCTGGCTGCGGGTGAGCTGGAGTTCATTGTCACCAATAGCAGATTCCACTCTCAGACGGCTGGGTATAGAAGAAAATACAAAGTGCGTCATAATCTGCACTAAAGATATGTCAAATATAGACAATTAGATTGGTGAAGCCTAGGATGTTGGCCAATAAAAACAGAGAGAGAGAGAGGGAGAGGGGGGGGAGAGAGAGGGACAGTGAGAGAGGAGAGGGAGGGGAGAGAGAGGGGGGAGAGAGGGGGGGAGAGGGGGAGGGAGAGAGGGGGGGGAGGGAGGGGGGAGAGAGAGGGGGGGGAGAGAGGGGGGAGAGAGGGGGGAGGGAGAGGGGGGGGATAGAGAATAGGAGGAGGAGGAGATAATGGGAGAGAGGGGGGAGATAATGGGAGAGGGGGAGAGAGAGAGGGAAAGAGAGAGAGGGGGGGAGAGGAGAGAGGGAGGGAGAGGAGAGAGGGAGAGGGAGGGAGGGAGAGGGGGGGAAGAGAGAAGGGGAGGGGGGGTAGAGGGGGAAAGAGAGAGAGAAAGAGGCAGAGGGGGAGAAGAGAGAGAGAAAGGGGAGAGAGAGAAAGAAGGAGAGAGAGGGGGGGAGAGAGAGAGGGGGGCGGAGAGAGAGAGAGAGAGAGAGGGGGAGAGAGGGGGAGGAATAGAGAATAGGAGAGGGGGGGGAGGGAGAGAAGGGGGAGAGAGGGAGAGAGAGGGGGGAAGAGAGAGAGGGGGAGAGAGGAGAGAGGGAGGAGAGGAGAGGAGGGAGGGAGAGGGGGGAGGAAGAGAGAAGGGGAGGGGGGAGAGAGAGAAAGAGGCAGAGGGGGAGAAGAGAGAAGGGGGGGGAGAGAGAAGAAGGAAAGAAAGAGAGAAAGAGAGAGAGAAGAAAGAAGAAAGAAAGAAAGAAAGAAAGAAAGAAAGAAAAGAAAGAAAATGAAAAAGAAAGAAAGAAAGAGGGGGGAGAGAGAGAGGGGGGGGGGGGGGGGGGGAGAGAGAGGGAGAGGGGGGGGAGAGAGAAAGAGAGAGGGAAAGTACGTTTTGTTGCATTTTATTGTCTAAGGATAGTGAAAACAATCATTGTTGCAGGACGATATCATGAAAAGAAAGCCGTGTTTGTCCTTATAGAACACTATATGTATTACGTTGTTATCTGAAATAATGACAAAGTTATTGCTGAATAGACAGATCCGTGGCAGAAATGTAAACATTGCTCTTCTCCATGGAGGGTGAACAGGTATGAGAGGTGAAGGGGTTAATAGAGAATGGTTCCAATCCCTGTCCAGTGTACGGCTTTATAGAGTATAGATAGTTTTTAGGCAGTTCTAGGCATCTCCTGTTGTATGGGAAACATATCCTGGGGAGTGTAACATTTTGTGCAACCTGACCTCTTCCTGAATTCTCAATGTGTCATAAAAAAGAAAGAAGCAACCTAATTTTAATACTCAGTCCCGGGAAAATATAATATATGAAGAAGTGCAGTTTATTATGTTTTTCTGACTTGTTACATTTTCATTTTTTGGATAACAATTGCCTTCTGAACACTAGATGTCTCTTCAGTGCTATCATAGAACATCCCGAGGGACAGAGTGCCGCAACAACTCCTTTTAGAGATCAAAAAAAAAATGACTTTCCTGAGTCATTTCTAGTTTGGGGGGGTCACCAACATGAACAATAATGAAATCAAATATTTATTTTAGGAAAAAACAATCATTTTATTACCCCCCCCCCCCACTCCAGGGCTTCAACCCATATGATGGTAAGTGCGGCGTATCGTCCGGCATGGTCAGTGGCTCTATGGTGAGCTTGGTCAGAAAAGAAGAAGTGCCACATAGACACCATTGGATGGATTTCTGGCATCTTTCAGGAGCGGTAATGTATTAGGATAGAGATCCTGGGGGCTGATATAATCTCGGTTCATAAAGATTTATTAAGACAATAAATACTTCTTCACGAGATTTCATCTTCCGGAGGGATCTTCTTTCCTAATATGTTATTATTATTATTATTTTATACAGGATTTATGGCGCCAACAGTTTGCTCAGCGCTGTACAATATAACAGGAGACAATACAGCAACAATACAGATCAATACAAGAGGGATGGGAGGGATTTATAGTTCCTACAATAAGTCAGAAATCTGTGTTGATTGGTGCATCTTTGGCACTTATGACCTCCAGGGTTTTCCTACTATGACTATATTTATCCATCTACCCAATGTCCTCCAACCAGACAGGACTGGACAACCACGAGCACTGAGGCTATGCTGTACCTGCGATATTAGATATAGGGTAGGTTGTCATATTAGATATATAGGGTAGGTTGTCATATTAGATATAGGGTAGGTAGGTTGTCATATTAGATATAGGGTAGGTTGTCATATTAGATATAGGGTAGGTTGTCATATTAGATATAGGGTAGGTTGTGACATTACTATAGGGTTAGGGTAGGCTGTGTATTAGATATAGGGTAGGTTGTCATATTAGATATAAGGTAGGTTGTCATATTAGATATATATTAGATATAGGGTAGGTTGTGACACTACTATAGGGTAGGTTTGTTATATATAGATATTAGGGTAGGTTGTCATATTAGATATAAGGTAGGTTGCTCTCAGTGTATACAGTATGGAACCCCCCCCCCCCCTTTGGTCCAATATTGTTCTGGAAAATTCTCCATACAGTACATGCCATTAGTATTCCAGTCTCGGATGAAGGGCCCGGATGAAGTTCCCGGATGAAGGGCCGGGATGAAGGACCTGGATGAAGGTCTTGGATGAAGATCCCCGGAATGAAAGGCATGGATGAAGGGCCCGGATGAAATTCCCAGATGAAGTTCCCGGATGAAGGGCCCGGATGAAGGGCCCAGATGAAGGTCCCCGTGTGAAGGGCCCGGATGATGAAGGGCCCGGACAAAGGGCCCAGATTAAGTTCCCGGATTAACTTCCTGGATGAAGTTCCCGGATGAAGTTCTCGGATGAAGGGCCAGATGAAGTTCCAGGATGAAGGTTTCGGAATGAAGGTCTCGGATGAAGGGCCTGGATGAAAGTCTCAGATGAAGGTCCTGGAATGAAGGGCATGGATAAAATTCCCAGATGATGTTCCGGGATGAAGGGCCCAGATGAAGGTCCCCGGTGAAGGGCCCGGACGAAGGTCCCGGGTGAAGGGCCCGGATGAAGTTCCCGGATGAAGTTCCCGAATGAAGTTCCCGGATGAAGGTCCCGAATGAAGTTCCCGGATGAAGGGCCCGGATGAAGTTCCCGGAAGAAGGGCCCAGATGAAGGTCCTAGATGAAGTTCCTGGATGAAGGTCCTGGATGAAAGGCCTGGATGAAGTTCCTGGATTAAGTTCCTGGATGAAGGTTCCGGATGAAGGGCCCGGATGAAGTTCCGGATGAAGGGCCCGGATGAAGGTCCTGGATGAAGTTCTGGATGAAGTTCCCGGGTGAAGTTCCGGGATGTTTTCTGACTCATGAAAAGTCATGTTCTATGTTCCGGAACATGTGGGATTTGCTGTCAGGTAATCTCCTCTCTCAGTGATTACAAACCTTCCTGATCCCATCATTCCCTGAGATCCGACCACCAAAGGTCACCAGGGATTTGTCGGATAAATTTACCTTCATAATCCGTCCCGGCTGACAGCGGCAACATACGGCGCTAATGGGATACAGAAGCAACGTAAGAGTCCTTGGAATCCGGGATAAAACCTGTGTGCTAAGGCCCCGCTTATACCTACGCTGTGCAGGAATGTGCGCGGTCCAGCAACGTGATAAGACGCATGTTACTTGCCTGACGCATTGCAATGCCATTCATTTTGATCAGAACCCCAACACACGAAGTGCCCGGTCATACCGGTCAGATTTGCAAACAAAAAATCGCACCGGAGTCGCGTCCTAATGAATGTGAATGTCAGGGGCTTAACACGTGCGATTTGCTGCAGCGCCATTTTCTATGCGTGACGTTTCTGCAGTTTTGTTGCGATTTCACATCCATAGAAAAGAACGGAAATCGCACTGCAAACTGCAAGAAATTGGCAAAAAACCTTCACGAGCAGCAATAAAGTCTTCAGAAATCGCACCTGAAATCTGCGCTGAAATTGCACCACAAATCGCGTAATTTTAAATTGTGACTAACCCCCCCCCCCCCCCCCCCCACCCGTTCACATCAAGCCCGACTTTGAAATCGTGCGACTTACAGTGAAACCTTTTGGTGCGGTGCGATTAGAGTCATACAAATTGTACGGCTCCGATCGCACCGCACACAAAATCGCGAGTGATCTGCGGGGAATGCGGTTCCTGTGCGGTTCCATGGTGGTGCGGTTCCTGTGCGGCTCCATGGCGGTGCGGTTCCTGTGCAGCTTCCATGGCGGTGCGGTTCCTGTGCAGTTCCATGGCGGTGCGGTTCCTGTGCAGTTCCATTGCGGTGCGGTTCCTGTGCAGTTCCATGGCGGTGCGGTTCCTGTGCAGTTCCATGGCGGTGCAGTTCCTTGCAGTTCCATGGCAGTGCGGTTCCGGTGCGAATCTTATGCAAAATACCGCACCGCATGTATGTGAACCCGGCCTAAAAGTGAATGGTGGAAAACCAAGAGGCATTTGTAGCAAAATAATTTATAATGTGTCATTCATCATTTTAAAAAAAACATACAGAACGAATAACATCTGGAGGAAAAGAAATGTCATCTCCAAACACGGAAAGGTTTCTTCACAGTAAGAGCTGTGAGAATGTGGAATAGACTCCCTCCAGAGGTGGGGTGTGGCCAGCTCAGTGGATTGCTGTAGGAAAGTTCTGGATCTTTCTTGGATACACAGAATATAACTGGATATAACATTTATAGGGGAACGTTGATCCAGGAAATATCCGATTGCCTCTCGGGGGATCAGGGAGGAATTTTTTCCCTGCAGGAGCAAATTGGATCGTGCTTTGCTGGGTTTTACCTTCCTCTGGATCAACTGTGGGTGGGTTATAACTTTTTTTTTGTTAATGGTTGAACTGGATGGACTTTTTTCAGCCAGATTGTAAACTATGTAACTATGTTATGTAACTATTAACT